CGAGGTGGGGGTTGAGTGGGTGACCCTCACCTGGGGGGGGTGATGGGGTCCCCCCCAGGTGTCCTCTCCTGGGGAGGGGTGGGGTGGTGGGTGGTTCAGGGTGCTCCCTGGGTGCTGGGGTGAGTCTGGGGGTGCCAGGCTGTAACCAGGGCAGTCCCTGTCCTGTCCCCAGCCAAAGCTGTCGACCCCAAAAAGGTGGAGGAGGAGGAGGAGGAGATCGACATTGACCTGAGTGCACCTGAGACGGAGAAAGCCGCGCTCGCCATCCAGGGCAAATTCCGCCGCTTCCAGAAGCGGAAGAAGGAGTCAGGGCCCTGAGCGGCTGTGGGGTCCCGCAACCCCCTGCCCACAGTGGGCGTCCCTCTCTTGCACGCGGGCACGGCCCCATCCTGATCTCCACCATGCCGGGGCTGCTCCGTCCTCTGCGAGCGGGGCCGGGGGGGGCTCAGCCCTTCCCTATCTCTTGCTCACCCCCGAGCCAGGACCCCGGGTGAAGCTGGGGGGCTGATGTCGGGGGGGAGATGGCCGAGTCCTGTGTCCCCCAGCGTGGAGGTGGTCCTTGTGTGAGGGAATGGCATGGAAATGCCCTTTCTCCTGGGGCAGTCCCTATTTAGCCATCCGTGGTGATGCTGGGGACGTGCGGGGTAGGGGGACACCGGTGTCCCCTAAGTGAGGGAAGCCCCTGTCCTGGTCCCATGGGGTGGGACACTGCAGGGGGGACACGGACAGGTCTTGCTGCAGCCCTCCACGGGGGAGCCCAGCACTGGGATGCTCCCTGTCCTCGCACTGCCCCCTCCCTACCCTCCTGTCATTGTCACCGTCCCCTCCCCTGGGGAGGCTTTTAGCATGTGTAAAGAATAAACCATCGGGAAGAGGAGCCGGGCTGGCTGTCGAGTGGTCTGTGGGAGGGGGTGTGGGGACGGTCCCCCACCTGGTGGGACCCCCAGGTCCCCGTTCTCTGGGGGAACAGGGTGAAGCCCCCTGTTAAAAGCAGCCTTGCAGGTCCCCGGGGCCAGACTGTCCCTGCCTGGGGGGAGCACAGGCAGGGGCATCCCCAGGATGTGGGTGGAGGATCCCCCCCTTGGGATGGGGCTCCTTGGCTGGCGCTTTGGGAACTGCTTCTTCCTCACCCTGGGATCTCCCATCACTCTCTGATTTGGGGTTTTCCCCGTGAAATTCTACTTAATTTATCAGCCACTGGGTCTCAGCCCCTTGGAGCTGTGGCCTCGTTTCCCATCGCGCTGCTCTTTGCAGTGGCAATGAAAGATGCTGCCACTTGCTCTTCTTCCTTGGGGGACAAAGGCCTCATGGCATTGCATCCCTCTAGGCATCAAAGTTTTGCCTGTGGCCAGCTTCAGTGGCAGTTCCTAGCCCTGGCTCTCACTGTGGCACCACTGAGAGCAGCTGCAGGAGGTACCTGGGCTGCTGCTGGCGATGACAAAAGAAGAGCTTTGGGGTGGGTAAAATGAAGCTATCTGGGGATTTGCACCAGGGTTTCTTGGTGCTCTGATGTGAGGTGGCTGTGGGACCGGTCCCTGCAGTGCCCAATGCCATGGGGTGACTGGGGATGCTGGGACCTGGCATGGAGCCGCAGCATGTTGGCAGAAATAGCTCCCTGGAAAGAAAAACAGTGTCGGTAGCCAAGGGAAAGGCAGGGCCCAGGGGATGCCCTGGGGACGCCGGGGTCAGGCTTGGCCCCCAGCTTGCTCCACAGACTTATTAGGGAAAAGACAATTATAGCCCTGTCGGTGGGGCCGGGGGGAGGCGGCGCAGGGGCCCCTCCCTTGCAGCCTTGTCTGTGTCAGTGTGGGAGCGAGCGCTCCTGGTCTGCTCCCATGCGGAGTCCAATGGGGCTGCGGGCTGGCACCAATCCGTGGGGCGGGAGCGCTCCCACTCCACTCCAGCACAGTCACCCATCACCCCAACTGCCCTCCCCCCCCCCCCCCCGGGGCGCAGCCCCACCCCCCGCCCCCCCACCCACGTG